CCTACCTCTCCCCAGGTGGAAGGAGCCATGGGAGAAGCCCCCATGGCTGCCCTGCCCAGACGCATCCCCCACCCAGCCCCAGCTTCCCGGAGCTTTAAAAAAAAAAAAAAGCCCTGCATTCACCAGCTGCAGCAGCAGGGATCAGGGCCTCTGAGAGCTTGTGGCATAGCCCCACTGTGCAGCGTGGGGCAGTAGGGGACAGTGGGGATTGTTCCCCCACCCACCTGGTGCCCGCACAGCAGCTGCCCTATGGCGCGGGTGCAGTGTGGCTCAGCAGGGTGCCATGCACTGTCTGGGAGCTGGGGCCACTGGGGCTGAGTGGTACCAGGCTCTGGGTTACTGCTGGAGCCACCTCAGCTCCCAGACAGTGCATGGCACCCTGCGGAGCTACACTGCACCCAAGCAATGCCACAGCTGCAGCACAGGTGCCAAGCAGGTGGGGGATGATCTGCATTGCTTCCCACTGCCCTGTGCTGCATGGGGGCTCTGCCACAAGCCCCAAGAGGCCCTGATCACTGCTGCTGCAGCCAGTGAGTGCGGGGCTTTTTTAAGTGTTGGGAGACTGGGGCCAGGCAGGGCAGCCATGGGGAGTTCTGCTGCAGCTCCTCTGGCTATGCCTGTCTCTCCTCAGGTGGAGGGAGCCACAGAAGAAGCTGGCCCCATCCCCTGCCTGACCCAGCCTCCTGGCACTTAAAAAATAAAAAAAAAAGTCCCACACTCACTGGCTGCAGCAGCAGGGATCAGGGCCTCTGAGGGCTCATGGCAAAGCTCCCCCATGCAGTCCAAACCCATCTGCCAGGCATCAACAGCTCACTAAAACTCCGTAAGTGGACCTCTAGCCTAAATAACTGTCCACCCCTGAACTAAGGTGTACTACACACCCTGCCACTGCAGCTGCAGTAGTGAAGCTACCAAATTCTGACTTGCGTTAAGGTATTAAACTGAAGCTGGAAGAAACTAAGGCTGAAATTACATGTTACACTTAGACCACACTAATGTAAGGAATGTTAACCAGTGTTGAAGTTATAACATGCTCTGAGTACTCGCACATTAAGGGTTAATACCATTTCTTGCCTGTACAGCTCTGACTTGCCACTAGAAGGCAGGCAAGCAGGGACATGGCTAGGAGACAGGACACCTGGTTTCTATCCCAGCCTGGGGGGAGGAGGCATTGGAATAGTGCATCCTGGGATATTGGAGAGCTGAAAATTGCTTATCTCAATGAAGCAAACTGACATTACCCTAGCACAAGCTAGGTAGCATGACCCAAAGTGAACTGTAACCTGGACTAGCATGACTTTGAAATGCTCAGAGAGCACTTAGCAGAAGATAATGGACTGTAACATGCAAATGCTCACATTTTAAGTGGCTTTTAAAGTCTACGTGTTTTAAGGTCTAAGTGTAACATGTAACTTCACCCTTATGCAATCTGATCTTGAGATGAAAAACTGAAAACCAAGATATTGTCTGCTTTGTGTGGACTTAAAGAAGTTTTTTCATCCTTCAGAAGAAAGCAAACCCTATCTCTTCAAAAGTAGATGTAAAGTTTCTTTAGGTCCACACAGTCAAAAAAAAGGACATAAATATTTGTTTTAAACGTCAAGGTTTCCATACACCTGCATATATTCCCCTTCCCCTTTACTCTGGTACTATGAATGTTACAGAGCACAAGCCAATGAGGTGTACTACTACAGATCTGCCATAACTTTAGTGACTTCCCATTAGTCAACCAAAAAAGGCACTCTTTTGGATGAAGGGTCTTAACCAGCACTGACGTACAAAAAAGTCTTTCCTTCGCTTTAGCTTTGAACAATTTTCAAAAAAACATGGAAAAAAACGTGCAATGAAGTTGGAAAATTTTCAATTACATACAAGAAATTACAGAACTTCCTTTTAATTAGGAATTTGACCTTCATAGTTGGCAATGCCAGAATTTTCCCCAAAAGAGCATATAAATCTAACATGACACTGGTGATGTGACAACATGTCAGAAAATTATAGTCAAAGAAATAGAAGTTTCCTTTTTTCTTCACTCACTTCCTCCCTGCAAGGACCCAAGCGTCCCTCATTTCTTACCTCCATCCAATTTAATAAATCATCAGAGAACACAACTCTTTACTTAATTTTTCTGTTCATTATAGGTGCGCTAAGAAGTAATTCCAAAAAACTGTCTGAGTTTCCCATTTTATGAGAAATAACTTTTAATAACATACATGTTCTATAACATGAAAATATGATACTGAATATCATATGCTCCTTTGGTTACTTGACAATAGGATCTCGGGATTTTTTATTTAAGGTTAATTTGAGGATCCCCTCAACACCCTTAAGGAAGATGTCCCAATGCAGGCATTAAAGCTGAGAGAAATGTTATTTCTAAAATATTTTTTACCAAACTATGCATTTTCAGTTTGACCAAAACATTTAGCAAATTTGAATTTTCTTGAATTGCTACAGTTAATAAAACAAATGAAATTAATTAAACAAATAAAAAGATTTTGTTTTGGTATTTCCAAAACAAAATGTTTCAGTTTTTTTTCATTTCAATGTTCCACTTACTCATGTTTTGAAAATATTTTTTAAACTTTTTCTTTTAGTTTTTTCTAAAGTTTTTGTTTAATGCAAAATGAAATTGATTTGATTTATTGGAAATTTTGAAAAAAATATTTCAGGTCAAACAGAAACAATTTTATCACTTTTTTATGGTTTAACCAGCAAACTAAAAAATAAGATATTCATGTAGTTGTAGTAGTGACATCTACTCTGGCAAGACAAATATTGAACTCATCTAAAAATCCAATTGCATGTACCTTAAAAGACCCCTGGTTTTTCCCATTTGTCGCTCACACACAATAGCATCTGCTGTTTGTACATACATAGGCAGAGGGCTATCAGAAAGAAAGGACACAGTAAATATCACTTTTAGGGGAACAGCCAAACACTGCATGCTTGTGTTTACTATCTGAAAAATGATTTAAAATACTAGCACACCTAACATAGAGTCTGCCAGATGTTGGGAGGTTAAATTAATATTTGTAAATCTTTCTGAGGTCCTAGGATGAAAGGTGCTACAGTAATGAATAGAGGTACACCAATATATCAGTCCATATCAGATTGGCCCTGATAAAAGGAAAATTGACATCATCCTGTTTTGTTGGCTGGTGTGTCTGATAATGTCAGCAATAAATGCTGCATGCATGTGCACAGCTGCAGCATGCATGTGGCAGCCTGGCAGCTTGTAGAGCAGTGTCCGGCCGGTAAGTATGTTGTGGGGAAGGGGAGTGGAGGAGGGAAGGGGTGTGGCGGGGGACAGATCGAGGCCCCCACAGTGAGGAAGGGAGTGGGGCTGGGGAGGGGCATGGGCAAGTGCTACCCAACCAGGGTGGAACAGGGCATGGGACAGAGCAACAGGCCAGGCACACAGGGGGATCGGGGAGGCTTCTGCTATTGTGTGTATCCCTGGGGGAGGCATGGAGAGCATATGGCCCTGGATTTGTATGCAGGGCTAGGGAAAGCTGCCCATTGAGAGCTCAGGGCCAGTGTTGGCCTCTTCCCGGTGTTGGGGGCTGGGCCAGGGAAGCGCAGGCAGCAACAGTGCTGGGAGGGGGACTATAGGGTGGGCTACAGCCACCTTAAAACTCCTTGTAGTGCTCCCTGTTGCCCCTCTCCCTACCCCCCTCATCAGCCACCCGTGTCTTCATCCTGCATTCTGCCCTGCACCAGCTGGGCAGCACCTGCCCCTGCCCCAGCACCACTCCCTCAGTCACCACGGGGGCCTTGATCTGCCCCCCTGCCCCTGCGCCTGTTCTACCCCAGAGATTTACTGGCTGGATTCTGCTCTCCAAGCTGCATATTGGCTATTGGATCAGTACCGACTGATACAGCTGGTTAACAATTGGCCATCAGTATCAGCCAAAAAAATCTTTATTGGTGGACCCTTCATAATGAGAAGTGCGGGGCGGGTTGTTCTGGTTTGATAGTTAAGCTGTTTGCCCATGCAGCTTCATAGTGTTTGATTTTGCCAAGTCAGAAAATGAGACTGATTATTTTTAATGAGATACAGGATACAGATTTTGGAAGGTTCATTTTGGTGCATCTAAATAGGGATGGCCTGGAAAAGGAAATTCAGAGCTATTCAGAGCTGTTGAGCACATTTATGTAGGGCTGACACTTTCTTCCTATGGTGGAAAAAAAGAACCAGAAAAAGGATCAGATAAGGGCTTTGAGGCATAATTCATGTAAACACATTCTGCATGCGCAGGTGCAATAACCCATGCATACTGCATATCAGAGGGACCAAATCCTAATGAAAACTTGACCCCACTGAAATCAACTGCAAAGGTTCAACTGATTTCAACAAACTGGAATTTCTTTTTAAGTCAATCAAAAAACTTGACTGAGTAGCTTCTTAAATAAAATAAATCATACTCCTTTAGCATGCCTGATATATCAGAGACTCCTGAAGGACAAAACAAATTCCATTTTCCATCTGTTTTTAGGATTAGTAGAAACAAATTCTTGAAGCTTTTTAAAATCCAGTCAACTGAGGTGAACATTCCTTATGAAAACAGGAGGTAACGTAGTAAGAGTTTAAACCTGATGTGCGCACCCTCATGTAGAAGTGTGCAGAAGTGAAGACACTTCTGAGAAAATATTTTTCACGATAAGCGTGCAGTTATGTTTGAACTCTAATTCTATGATATCTCACTTCCAGTTTCACAATCACAATACATAGAAATTATCTTCTAACAAACACACTTTTATGTCTTATATGGGAAAAATCAGGCAGTTCTAGTTCACAGTTCAGTGGGCATCATAATGATGTCCCAAACTTAAGTAAATTCAAGGTCATTCTAGACAAATTGACCCAGGTTTCTGCAGACTCTTCAATATTTTGGATTAAAAACAGGAGTTAGTATTCAAATGGAATGCATGTCTTTAAGCAAAAAAAGGGGAAGGAAACTCAGGAAATTAATTCAATCTTCAATTAATTGTATTAGGTTTTCCGACATGGTGACCGAACCCCCATTGAAAACTTCCCAACTGATCTACACAAAGAAAGCGAATGGCCTCAGGGATTTGGACAGCTCACTAAGGTTTGTGGACTTTCTATGAAAATGAGAACATTAATTAAATAATCCATGCAGATATGTGATTGTCAAAATATTAGCAACTAACCTGTTACGCATAATTCATAAGTTTGTAGTGAAGTGACACTTGACTGCCAACTATTAAACTGCATCTGGACCTTTAGAGCCATGTGACTATCTCTTTGGATCAAAGGCATTGTACATCTTCCTGATGAAATGCCTGCAGTATGATAAATGGCAATATATAAAATACATTATATCTATATTTGTATATACCAATTTTAAGTAAAAAAATTCTAGAAAGCTTTTCTAATTTTTACAAAAAAAACAAGTAATAAATGTGTGAATTTCCAAGACACTGTGTCAATAAGAAAGAGCGTATTTGACTTTAAAAGATAAAGGAGTTCCACTTGTAATTTTGGAAGAGTCTTACAGAACAGAGGAAATACCAATTTGAGACTTGATAACTCCAATTACATCAAACATAAATTGGCAGAATATAATTAAAGGGATGGGAGAGAAGCTATGAAATCCTCAGTCTGATTAAGAGACATACAAAAACTAGAACTCTTGGTTCCATTTCTTGCCATTTTCCAGTTGGTCTAATAAAAGGTATCACTTTGGAACCAAGAGTTCTAGTTTTTTTTGTATCTTTTTGTCGCAGGCCAACATGGCTACCAAGTACACCTCAGTCTGATTAAATAATTTGTTGTGATGAGTTATATGAATTAATCTGTGTGGAAAGGAAAATTTACATCCATATGTACTGCTTCTCCAACAGACTGGAATGCGGCAGCAGCATGAACTTGGACAATATACACGGAAAAGATACTCAAAATTTCTAAGTGCCACTTACAACCGAAAACAGGCAAGCATCAGAACTCACGTTAGGAATTATTTTACTGTATGGTTGGGCTGTCAGTATTATCAAAATATATATAAAAAAATAAATAATAATGAACCCTAATTAAAGCAAAGAATAAGGTAACAGAAGATTAGCAGATCGCAAAGTCAGGCAGGTTATTTAGATTAATTCACTTGACTTTAAGCACCTAAATTTGGATACTGTGGCCATAAAAAGCTAATTAAACTTTAGAAAGTCTTCATACAAGAGGGAGTCCCACATTCCTTATCATTCTTGGTAAGAATGAAAAAGAGAAATGATCTAGGGATAGCTGAAGAATTTGGTACTGCAATGATATTTATAATCAGGATCAGGCTATTTGAAAATATTCTTACAAAGAAAAAACAATAGGGTATGCTGTACACTGTGACAGGCAGAAGAATGAAAATAGTTTGTAGGATCTTGCTCCAGAAAAGGTGCACTGAGAAAGGATTGAAGCAAATTTCCTTAAACATACAAATTCAAGCAGCTTTAAATCTGAGAGAGAGAGAGAGAGAGAAACCTTTTTAATCTAGAGCAGGGATATCCAACTTCTTAGTGCCAGGGGCAGCACACTATGGCTAAGTATAGAGGTTCAAAAATCCCGGGGCAGAATCCATTCAAACTTTGCAGGTTTTTCTAACCTACATAAATTGGACAGATAAACTGAACTGATATTCAATGTTCCAGTGGCCAAAGCAGGCAGG